CGATCAAACAATCTGCTTCTGACAATGGCCCTGCTAAAGTTCACGGCATTCCCCTCTCTGTGCTTGCCTATGCCGATGATCTTGTCATCATATCCAGAAAGAAAGACCGTCTCCAGAAGCTTTTAGACATTGCCCCGTCTACCGCAACAGACCTTGGCTTATCCTTCAGAGCAGATAAGTGTGCCTCGATCAGTCTGACTTGTTCAAACAATTCGCAGTCGTCTTTCGAACTTAATGCATTTATAGTTCAGAACAAACCTATCCCTCAACTTGACCGTGAAAACCCTTACAAATACCTTGGTGTTCCTATTGGCTTAATTCATGACCCTGATGACATCTCGGATCTGGTACAGGACCTTACTCGTGATTTGGAGAGCATCGAGAAATCACTGTTAGCTCCATGGCAAAAACTGGACATGATCCGTACCTTCCTTCAACCTTCCCTAACATTTGCTCTTCGTGCTGGTTTTCCCAAAAAAGATAATCTTTTGGTATACCGTTCCCACCTCGTGGCCACAGTTCGTAGAATATGTGCACTACCATCCCGTGCTTCTGCTTCTTACATCTTCGCTCATAAGCGCGTTGGTGGTCTCGGTCTGCTGGATCCAACCCTTGAAGCTGATGTCCAGGCTATAATTCATGCAGTTAAAATGCTCTCCTGTTCCGACCCGACTGTAACCAACGTTGCTATTGCTGAGATAAACCAAACTTTCCGACTCGCTAGCCGATCTAATCCAACCCCAGCTTTAAAATCTAAATACCTGTCTAGCCTCCCCGATGACCGTTTGACCAACTTACGTTATAACATTCAATCATTATGGACCCGAATTCGTAAATCGACACGTAACGTTGGTGTTGAAATTCAATTCAATGACAATGGTCTCCCTATCCTTTCCACTGAGAACTCTGGTTTTGTTCTTGCCAAAGAAGCCAGTCGTTTCCTTCATTTTCATGCTCAAGATCGTTTTGCTTCCACCTTACTTGCTCTTCCTGATCAAGGAAAAGTGGGCCGTGCGCTTACTACCGACACCTTCGCCAATGGTTCTACCTGGCAATATAATGGCTTAAACATTCGTTTCAGAGATTGGCGTTTCATTCACCGAGCTCGACTTAACTGCCTCCCAGTAAATAATGTCAAGAGTCGTTGGTCTAATTCCTGTCCAAAATGTTGCCATTGTAACTTGGATGAGACTCTCCCTCATGTGTTGTGCCACTGCCTTCGTAACATGCCTAGTATCCTGCGGAGACACAATACCATAGTAGACCGCATCGTCAACGCCGTTCAAAGTGGAACTGTCACCACCGACCAACAAGTTCGCGCCGCTAATTTTCGTCTTCGCCCAGACATGATAGTAGAAGAAGATAACAAAGTGCTTATTATTGATGCAGGGCATTTTTTAAGAATTCATCAGTGGGGGGCCATCTACAAAAAGGGACCATACTATACCGAGTGTGGAGCAATGATAGATGGTTTGTTGGTAACAAAAAGTTTGGTGTGGTATCGCATTTAATAGTAGGGGGGAGAGCAGGGCCGTAGGAAGCTCTTTTCGTTTTGGAGGGGGGGGGGGCGGCTGAAAGCAAGGGCCGAAAGCCCGAGGAAATTTTTAAATTTAGAGTCTCTGAAATGCCATTTCCTGGACTTTGGGGAAGATTTGACAGATTTCTGATTGTCAGAAAACAGCGTTTTTAGTATGTGGAAATTTAGAATTCAGTAGTACTAAATGGGCGAAGGTGTATTTAATTAACGATATATTGGATAATATACCCTGGAGAGGGTCTGGGGTTTTCTCTCCCAGAAAATTTTTGTATTTTTCTACCCATATGACTGCAATTCCCTGCATTTTCTGAAACAGATTTTTGGATATACAGCATTACATTATGCTGGAGATAGACTGAACCTTCAGTTAAGTACTTCATAGTATGTTTATGTAGATACCACAACTTGGCCGTCACTTAGAGAGCCAGCTTGATAAACTTAGAGTCGGGAACTCCCACGAAGTGCCACCATGGTTGGCACAGAGCGATAAAATTTTGAAAATTTTGCTTCTCTAAATCGTCGGAAATGGCATTTTCAAAGTCTTGCATACGTCTTTTGTTAGGCCCTTTCATTAATTCGTTCATTATGATTTGCGAGTCTATGATATCCGCGAGTCATGATGGATTATTACGAGAAATGTTATCAAAATATCGATTACAGATATTTGATTATATGTATATATGATTTCAAATACTTCTAGTTTCGAAATCAAATTGGTTTTTTTTTTGGTGGGGGCCAAAATTATCCCCCCCCCCCTCCCCTTATAAAACACTTGGTTGAGGGCCTGTTGCCCCCTGCGGTCACTAACTTGTCCAACAACTCAAATCTATAGGGTCTGGAAAATGCAATCCACTGCCTGGGAAATGTTTTAAAATCTAAGGTATTTATTAAACATAAAAGACAGGACATAAGATTCACAAAGCAAATTTCAGTTACT